GTGATGTAAATTTTAATAGACACTAATTAATTTATTTATATATATTTTAATATACATATATCTAATGTATAAATTTGTAAATATTAATGGACACCAATTTCCCCCAGTTTCCCTTCCCTATGTTTTATACATTATAATTGTTATTAATTGTTAACATATCTGAAAACGTTACAAAGACGTAGTGCCCTCTTCAAATTGGCAACCATGGTAAATATAAGCAAAGAAGGGTGTGAAAAAAATGCCTTTATTGTTTAAACTTTTGATCTTTTGTTGAAAAAAAAAATCACAAAAATAATCTGCTCTAATGGATATTAAACAATTGCAAACACAACAAAGGTTTATATATATATATATATATATATATATATATATATATATATACACACACACACATATATATATATATATATATATATATATATATATCTTTGTTAAATATATGTGTAGCCAAATTATTGGCACTCTTTTAGTCAATAATTTGTGCTAGCTTACTTTGCAAAAGGTATTGGCTAAAGATAAAAGCTCTGTGCCTTCTCCTTTAAATGCCTGATGAGATTGGAGAATACATGGCAAGGGACCTGATACCATTCCTCCATATAGAATCTCTCTTTAGATCCTGCAAATTACATCAACGGTCAACGTTGATGGACTCTCCTCTTCAATTCACCCCACATGTTTTCTATGGGGTGATGTATGTTTTAGATCATTGTCATGCTGGAAGATCCAACCATGACACAGTGCTCACTTTGTTCATGGTTTACCATCTTGTTATTTCTTTTTAGTCCCTGGATATCCATTATGGTCATTTTCCCATGTTACCTTAAAGTTGCTTTAGAAGAATACTTACACAGTCCTGGTTTATTTCAGATTATCTCCTTCAGTGCATTGGTTGTGCACTTCACCTTCATTTATGTCATCCATTATTTCTACCACAGAGATAAATTATAGGTGGGAGAAGATGTCCAATACCAAACTGACTATGCCTGGTTATACGATAAAAATGGAAAGACTGGGAAATCGTTCAGATATTCAGATCCTGATACAAATAAGGTGATATCCTTTAATAAAGTGCCCTTAAATCTATTGCACACCTTGCTTTCTTCATACCCCTTATACCATTCAGTTACTTATGTACTTGCCTCTCATACCAACATTATTGGCTGTGGAACATTAACAACAGTTGTTTGTATCGAAAAAAAAGGTGCTGTTTCTATCGATGGAAAATATATATCCATGATAAAACAAATCTCTATATTCACCATGGATACAGATAAAAAAGTTAATTGTTAGATGCCAGAAAGCAACCTACATTTCATAAACAAATTAATTCACAAGTAGAACACACACACACATATATATATATATATATATATATATTCTCTTTCTTCCATGACCTGATCAGAAAATAATTTTGCTCATATAACTACACACAGAAATGCTGACACTTTGTTACTCACTCATATGTGACCTTCTAAAACCCAGTGTTCGACCATAATCAATAATGTCAAGTCCTATTTTGGGAAAAGCTATTGCTAGTGCTTCCAGTTTATCAGATATTAACCATCAGTAGACAATAGGAATGATTAGTCAGCAGCAAAAGAGCATCTCGTTATCTATAGCCTCACCTTAGGATCTCCTTCATTGATCTCTTGTAAGATTTTGGGCTAATACATGCAGGCATGTATCCATTGACTGTCAATACACTGTAATTTAAAAAAAGTATCTTGGGACTTTATTTTCAAATTGATGGCATAAACGAAAATGTCTGGCAATGATAATGACTGTTCTATATAATAATGCATTTGTTGTAAGGCAAAGAAAAAGTGCTTTATTTAAAGACATATATTTTAAGAGATACCATGCCCTGTTGCAGCCAAACACTGCTTAATTTGTACTTTGTCTCCAATCTACAGTGATGTGGAAACTTCTTGGAGACAGAACAAAGGGTAAGGAATAATTCTAAACACAAAATAAAACACAAATCTTGTCACATTTAAATTTTTTGTTTCACAAATTTTCAAATGTCATGTGCCACCAAGCTCTAGTTAACACCAACTCATGGTGACTTTCTCATCTACACATCATCCTTAGAGTACTATGAGGAAATGATAGAACATCAGATTTTCCCAGCATTGCAGTTCAAGTATGTGAGGGGCCCTGAGTGATGCCACTATGACCTGTAGCTATTGCTCACCATTCAGGACAATACCAGTTGTTGTTGCCTGATAGTACTGCTCCTGTTAAAGTCATCACATAATTGTTCATTTTAAACATAGTGTGCACAGTCCCTTTGTCTTCAAACTCATATGTAAACGGTCAAGCCAGAAGAGGAACTCTGCATTTGTACTTGCAGAGTACTCTGCATTTACTCTGCATTTGTACATTTGTACCTGGCGATCCATTGAGAAAGATTTACTTGAGTTCCTTTTGTTTGCATTATCCCCGTGGTGAAATTAATTGATGAGTTGCAACCAATCACCCTTCTTTGTACAAGAAGATCTCAAACAGCTTCATCTTCACCTGCATCTGTGGATATGACATGGGCAGCATCCACAGCCTCAACTATCAATGCTAGTAGGTGTAAAGATGGAAGCATGCCTAATCCTGGTGTTTCAAGTACCGATACACAGTATGTGTTTATACCAAACATCCCCGTGGGTAATTGTGGGACAGTTAATATGTAATCGCTATAAAAATAAACTTTGCTGGGCCCCAGTTTTGGGGATATAGTGAAGATAGAGCAGGTTCCAATCCACATATCTCAGGGATTATACTAAAATGCCCATCTCCACCTATAAAATAATCTCTGCTCAAACACCTCCTGAATGCAACCAAAACTCTGATCCTAGTCCAATGTGGGATCACTCTCCCTCAGATGTTTCAACAATGGGTTGCTAAGGTTGAGGAAATTAGAACCATGGAAGAGATGAAAACAAGAGCGTTACTTGGGAAACGGGTGACAAGTTCTTGGGTATGCGGAGGGGTAGGTAGTATGATCATGAATCCATGCTCCAAACAAGTCACACTTTTGATTGACTCCCTTCTTCACAAGCCACGCTTAGCTTTCTTTGATTCCCTTGAAACTAGAAACCACCTCCAAATACATAAAACAATAACAGTGTCACGGCCCCCAGCTCGTGGCTGCACGTGTTCGCACCCGATCTGTGCGAACACACAGACAGGTTAAAAAATTACCAGTGCAGCAGCGAGTCGGGAGCCAGCCAGCTGGGGCGTCTGTCCCCTCCACACGCGATCTAAGATGGCACCGACCGTGAGGTCGTGGCCATTTGTAGCCTCGCCTCCAAAAATCAGGTCATGATGTTGACGCATGCGCACGTTCTGGGGTCCGAGGCCAAGCTCTGACCAATCACAGCCCAATGAGGGGTATTTAAACCCCAGAATACCTTAGTGCATTGCCCTGTCGTGGTTTCTGTTCCTGGTATCCGAGAGTGCGTTTTCTTGTTCTTGTATTTGATATTTCTGGTATTTGACTTTGGCTTTTCTTGACTATTCTAATTTCTGGATTTCCTGACTTGGCTTTCTAATCGACCTTGTGTATTTTTGGCTCCCTTGACCTTGGTTTTCCCTTGACTATTCTCTATCGTTCAATGTAATAACCCGGCCATTCTAAGGACCGGTTTACGTTCTGTGTCTTTTTCTGTTCTATGTAGTTTTGCATGTTGGATCATACAGTAGTCATGACAAACAGTATGATATCAAAATGCAAAACATAAAAATGAAAATCCAGCGCACTCGCTTATCTACTAAACAGTCATTTTAGTGCTGAACAATTTTTTGGTTTTATTAAAAACACCTAATTTAGGCAAAAAAATAATGGGGGTTTAGTTACAGTATATGATCATACACTGCATAAACCTGCCACAACGCCAATGTACCCCATCTTTGGCAGGTCCTACTGTGTCTGCTAAATGAGCTACTCACTTGGGGAAATCCTTCCATCTCGAGTTCTTTGCAGTACAAGGCTAAATAGGGTCCTGAGATGAGGCACCTGTAACAGGGAGGGGTGCAAAACCCATGGAGCTGGCTAGACTCCTAAATATATACATATATGAGAAAATATATGCAAAACGAAAATAATAAATTATTTCAAACAAAAATAGTATTCCTAGCTAAAGTGTTGTTCAAAAGTGAAAAATGAAAGTTTAAAATTTAACCTTTATTTAGAATTTTATAAAAATAGGTGGAACAAATATCTATATAAAATAACCAAATACCCTTTTAAATTTAATTGAAAATCAAAATGTTATGAAAACAAGATCTAATCTGTTGCATTTAAGACACACATATTTTTGGTGTTATGTGTAGATTGGGATTGAATGCTGGGTGAATTTTTCAAACAATCTTCCTTAAAGAATAATAACCCAGAGCCCACACTTTCTGTCTATCCCTCTAACGAGAAGTGTTTCCATTTTTAATAAATCCCATATTTAAGAGGGACAGTCCCAATTTTGAGCCTAAATCCCTCTTTTCTATCCCAATGTCCCTCTAGGAGCTCCATGTTGTTGGTATGTCTGAATTTGTAACAGAGCCCCACAGCAATAATACTCACAGTAATGTATCTTTAAACCCCACTAAATGTACATACATTTATGAGAAGCCGTCAGCATTACTATAGAAAGTTAAATTATTATGATTGGATGGACTACTTCCTGGTCTTGGCAAAGTTAACTGTTTAAACTGAATATAGGCAGACAGGAGACCATTGGCTTGAGCCAGATCTTGTAATAGGACACAAGGTCGACGTAACAGCTCTCTGATTTCCTTCCTGATAGCAACGATCTTGGAGGATGGGAGCTTCAGCACGGCAGCCACCAAGTCCACCCCGAAACCCAGGAACTGTACTGTCCAGGATGGAGTCAATTTGGACTTTGCTTCGTTGATGAAGAAACTGAAGTCCTACAACAGACGCTTTGTCAACAGGGTATCTCTCCGGAGCGTGTCCAGATCCTAAGCCATAAGGAGGATGTCATCCAGGTAGACTATGTACTCAATTCTATGATGTGATCAGGTGGGGCCCACTTGAAAGAGCGATAGTGTTGTATGACCCTAGAGTCGGATAACAGATGCCCCACATCTGTGTCCAAGATCTCCACTGGACCTTCAGATGGCAAAGTGGAAGTTGTCATATGGCCAGTACATGTGTCATCCACCACTGGCTCTTTGACATAGTCAGAAGTGGACCCAGAAGGAACCCGGACCATGTGGGAATCAGCATCTGAGTTGCATGTGTAAAATTCATTGACTACCTTGAAACCTGCAGCATCAGGGGTCACAGGAGGTAACGACCCATAGGCAGCTGCCAGGGGTCCATGTCTAGCCAGCTTAGCTGGAGTTTTGCCTTTGTTGGTAGAGGCACTGTGACCCTTCCACAGCAGCCAGTGCTTTGGAAAGTGAATTGGCCAAAGCCGCACACGGTCATTCCTGCAATACAGTGGGAACAACAAAGCGAACTTTGTCTGCCATAGTGATGAATAAGCTGAAAATAAAAAAACAAAATGCATTAAAACTCAAGGCAGACAAACCGGGGGTACCAGTGGGGGATCACCCATGAGGCAGTGGCATTTGACCATAATAGGTCCACCCATGAGATAAGCTAGGAGGTCACCGTCAGCACAAAGTCACCTGTGAGAAAGGTGTTGACAGAGGGGATCAGGAGATCTCAGTCGCACAGGGGGTCACCCTCAACATAGGGACACATTGATAGAGGTGTTGGGGAGGCACCAGAGGAGCCCAAGCACACAGGTAAGGGACTAAATATGCTTGCAACAGTATGACCACATCAGGCCACAATCAAGAGTATCAGTGGGGTCACCCAGAGAGGTTAGTAGGGGTGGCCTGGTGATGGGGAACCAGCCCCAGTGACAGTGTGAATGTTAAAACTAAAAAAAATACTTAAATTAGGTGCCAATAACAAAGGGTAGGCATGAGGCCTAAAGGGGACATACTGAGGAGCATAAAACCTCCCTCCACCCAGGGCCAGAAATACAGTATGGGTAAGAGAGTCGGCAGCACAGCCAGCTGACAAACATGATCGTGAACTCCTCTGCTTGGAAGTGCCTCAATATCCAATATGGCTACCATAACCCTTTGGCAGATAGGCAGCGGCCTAACATGCAGCAGGCATGTTAAAAAAAATGTGGTCGGTTCCACAGAGATAGATATACAAGGGAGAGCTTGGAGAGAAACGGCCTACAAAGAGTGATCATGAAGCCTCGATGGCGGCTGTGATCATGAATACAAGGCCCAAAAGGTGATAGCCCAAGGAGCAGGACACAGGAAGACAAAGGGAGCCCTTAGAAACAGTAAACAAATTCCAGCACACTCCCAAACTAACATGGTGAAGCACTAAGGAAATGACAAGCAATAACAATACTAGAGGAACTCTAATATGGAGGTTGCTCACCTGGAGACAGCAGCAAAGAAAGAGGAAGTGGGATGGTCTATTTGAGGGTTATGTTTGCCATATCTCATTCTGATTGGTGTTTTTTTACTGATTGTGTTAACTGTTTCTTTGCTGCTGGAGGTGTCAATAAAGAAGACATAAGCAAATATAAAAACCCCTGACTTGCTGTAAAATTGCACTGATCCTCTATATACTTTATTTCTTTTACATCAAATTGTCTAACAATTGGTTTTATGATGAGATATGAATACTCAATTAATTCTTTAGAAAACAACAAAAATTATGTTTGTTCGACAGACTGAGCTGCCAAATACCTTTTTTTGTTACAATGCTGGCAATCTGCGGAAGCCTTTTGGAGTTATTATAAAGAAAAACTGACAGGGTAATGTTAGGAGACTGGAAGTATTTTGTTTGAGGAAAGTGTTTTACAGCTGTTGCACAGTAGTATTTGTTCTGAAACTATTTGTTCTGACTTTTTTGTATAAAAAAGTATTTACACATCAAACAAACAGTGAGTTCTTTCCGCTACACTCCAATTATGCTCCTTGTTGTGCTCAGTAAGCAGTTATCATATATCATATTGGAGAAGGAGAGGAAAAAGGCTTTTCATTCATTATTATGTTTGGCATTTATATAGCACCAACACATTGCACAGAGTTTGACAATATTATTAAGGCGACTTTAACAACAAATGAGACAAACTATTACAGGTTTTCACAGGTACAATGGTTGATAAGGATCCTGCTCAAACGAACTTACAATGTGGAGAAGATGGGATATAAAAACACAATAAAAAGGGTAGCGTGTGCGATAGCAACCAAATGACAGATTGGGAAAGTAGCAGAACTGGAAAGTGAAGTGAAGTGTGGACCTTCTAATTACGTTCAGACAGTAACCTTTGAAATCCACAGATTATTCTGAAGAGGTGGGTTTTTAGGGACATCTTAAAGGATTGAAGCTTAGAGGAGAATCTAATATATTTAAAGAAGAAGCCCAGGAGGCGGGCGAAACGTGTCACGTGTGACATCAGAGAGAGGCGGTCCCAGCGGTCACATGACCGGAACCAGGAAGTGTCTAAGCTGTATCATTTTTGTGTGTAAATTCCTGCTTATCTAGTTGTGGGTTTATTGCTGGCAAATCCACTACTTCAAGTAAGAGTTTTTAACCTTTTGTTTAAATAAATACTGTGTTTGATACTATTCAATTTGGGCTCCTGCCTCTCTATTTGTTTATACTGCCTAGATATTACAGCTGAATAGTACTTGCATAGCATATTCAAGTAAAAGCGTTGTGAATAGCCTTTAGCACTCCACCTGTGTTTTTAGAATTGCTGAGACAAGATTGGATGAGTTGGAATAGGAACGTCAAAGGCCGTTTTGGCATATAAATCTAATCTACACCACATCCAACCAAACAGCACTATATACAAATTATAAAAAATAAATTATATAAATATGAGCATTGAAATTGTTTAATTTAAAAAAAAAATTATATATATTTTTTGTAGATTGGATTAGCCGTATTAGTCCAGTAGACAAGATGCCAAAATACCATACCGAGTATTGCCGTATGCAATGATACATTTTTTATTGGACTAACATAATATTTCAAAGACAAGCTTTTGAGAGTTTTCCTGTCTTCTTCAGGTCTGAAGCAATACTGATCAATCTGTTTTAAACACTTAAAACAAAAGATGTCAGAGAAGGGAAGGGGGTGAGTGGGTGTCATAAATAGCAGAAGATGTGCCTGAAAGTGAAAGGTTCAGGTTGACTGAGAATAGCAAGAAAAAATAAATAAACAGAGAAGAGAATAAACAAACAAAAAACAAAACAAAACAAGAAAACAGCGGAGCAGGGCATGCAAGTATATAGCTGCATATATTTATGTATATAAATTGATCCAATAAAGGTGAAATGAGAATATTGAAAAAGAAGTCTACATTAAGTCCTTAATTTCTGGTGTTGAAATGTGTGCTCAGTTTCATCTCAAATGTCTTTCGTTCATGAGAGCCTTTGAAATACCCTTTAAGAACTTTAATCCTGAGGTTTTGGATAGAGTGACCAGTCTGGGTGAAGTGATGACCAACAGAGGTACAATATCCGTTTTCCTTGTGGTTCTTGATTGAGTGTCTGTGCAGATTTAGACTGAGATGCAGCTTAAGGCCAGTTTCTCCAATGTAGCAACCTTTGTCACACACTGTACACTGTATCATGCACACCACAATCGCAGATGTGCACAAAAATTGATCCCGTAATGTTGTATGATTTGTTATTGTGTCTGGCTGTGTTATATCCACATATATGTTGACACAGTTTGCAGAGCGATTTGTTGCATCGTACAGTGCCATTTTGTGTGAGCTTCTGTTCTGTGGTCAGTTTGCTGCGGACCAATCTCTGTCTCAGGTTTGGCGGTTGTTTGAATGCTATTATGGGGTATTCATTAAATATTTCTTTGAGTGTGGGGTCCTCTGAAATGGTTGTAGATCTCTAATTATTTTACGTACTCCTTCTAGAGTTGGGTTGTATGTAACTACTAGAGGGATTCTTGTTTTGTTTTCCCGTGGTGTTTTTAGGGCATTTTATTTTTTTAAGATATTGTCCTTTCCTTGGAGCCCTTTTGTCTAAATGACTCTGACAGTGTACTTAGGTGCTGATCTCTGTCTTTTGTGTCAGAACAAATGCGGTGATATCTGATTGCCTGGCTGTAGATGATACCTTGTTTGGTGTGATGGGGATGGAAGCTGGAATTGTGGAGGTAACTGTACCTGTGTGTGGGTTTTCTATATACAGACGAATGAAGAATGCCATTGGTGACAATTATTGTGCAGTCCAAGAAACTCACACTATGATTTGAAAAGTTTATTGATGGGTGGAATAAATTGAATGATTTATGGAAGTCTATAAGGCTTTCTTCTCCTTCTGTCCATAATATGGAAATATCATGGATGTAACGATAATATGTATATGGTTTGTGGGGCTGTGTACATAAAAATCTGTTTTGTAGGTCAGCCATGAAAAGATTAGCATATTGGGGTCATATTTTTGTGAGGTTATATTTTTTTATAATATAAGACTTTCTTAACTGTTACTTTTTAGTTGTTCAATTTATTTTTTTTTTTAAATATTTTACAAGGATGGATACATTGAGATTTCTCTCGTTTTCAAGTATGTTCTGGGTTTTCAAGTTTTTGGCCCCAGCAGCACTCTATAATGTGTGTGTGTGTGTGTGTATGTATTTATGTATATACGGTATGTCTATTTTATAGCATTGGATGATGTTAGTTACAATTATTCCAATGTCATTATTGTTATTATTCTTTTTTTATGTTTGTGTTATTATTTAAAATTCATTCATAAAAACATTTGAAAGAAGATAGTACTATACAAATTTTGTGCATTACAGTGTTAATTTTGGCAGCAAATTTCTATTTAATTTTAGTCATAGTTTTTTGATTAAAAAGCTATTTTACTTTTAATCGTATTTTAGTAATCTGAATTGTTTTAGTTTTAGTCTAGTTTTAGTCGACTAAATTTCCAGTAGATATCAGTCGACTAAATCTCCAGTGGATTTTAGATGACACAACTAAAATCGAATGGGTTTAGTTAAAGCCTCTATCTGTGTCTTTTGCTTGTTCCCCAGCCCATCTGTGTATCTTTGTGTCTACCTAGCCCCTCTGGGTGTCTCTCTCCCAAGCCTTTGTCTGCCTCTATTGCCCTTTCCCACACCCCTCTGTGTGTCTCTTTCTCTCCAAGACCCCATTTATGTGCCTCTTTCCCCTTGCACCTCTATGTTGCTTTGTGTGTCCGCAGCCCCTTCATGCATCTAATCTCCCCTACGTGTCTCATTCCCTTCAAGCTCATCCATGTGCTCATTTCCCCCCCAGTCCCTTCATGTGTCTCATTCTTCCAGACCCTCCTCATTTGTCTCCTTCCCTCAGCCCCCTCATGTGTCACATTCTCCCAGCTTCCTCATGTCTCATTCCCCCAGTTCCCCATGTGTTTCAATCCCCTAGCCCCCC